CCTTCTTTCGAAACACCGGGATACGTTCCCACGTTTCCGTTTCTCTCTCTTTTCGAAACACCGGGATATGTCCCTATGTTTCTCCCTTCGGACCCTTCTTCGAGAGGGCGCATTGTTGTAATAAGCGTGCGCGTGTGTGTGCATGTCTTCCAACCCCACGTCTTTCTCCCTTTTACTTAACTACTTTTGATGGTTAGTTTTAGGGCATGTTTTGATTAGCATCCTTATGCTTACATGCGTGCATCATTCATTTGTATTGCATGCACCGGGCTCGGCGCATAATTCAAACTGCATTATATTTCAATAGTTACTTGAATACGTGTTGCAAAGCATGTTATCAAGTTGCATTCATATGCCATCTTAGATAGCCGAGCCTATTTAGTTACATATTGCGTGTGTTGCATTAGGCATCTATATTGTGCTTGAAAGTGTATTTTCTTCACATATTTGCACTAGTACACCTAGTCAAACACCACTACCTTGGAGCTGAGGTTCTTGAAGGTTTGTTTGGAGCTTAAAAGCTGGCTTTGGCTCAGAGGAAGACGTGTCTTGCTGCTGTTCTTCAAGGGTAACAACTTGTCCCTCTTAAGCTTTGTTTTGATTAAGTGTTTGATCACCTTTGCATGCTATTTTAAGGCTGGTTTTAACCTCTTAAAAACTCTGATTTTAAGGCTTTAAAATGTTAGTTTGAGTCTTGTTTGGTTAGGCGGTGTTTCCCCTCTTTTGCTCTTTGGCTTGTAAAGCCTCTTGAGCCACCTTTCTTAGCCTTTGTAATCACCTTTGTTTGGCCTTTCTACCACTGAAACTCAGAGGAATTTTAGTGGTAGAAAGTTGGTTTTGAGGCTCAAAATAGGGGATGGTCCCCTCTCCTTGTATCTTGTTTGTATGCATAGATGGCCTATCAAGTGAGCATGTGTTTCTTCCTTTTTGAAGCTTAGTTCAAGCACGTTTTTGTGACTTTTTAGACCTGCTCTAACTCTGTTTTTGGCTGGTTTGGCCACCTATTGCTTTCTTCTTACACTTGTAGTGTAATCTTGTTTAATAGCCTTGAATGCCTAATGAGTTAGTCCGTCGTTCTAGCATATGTTAGCTTGATTCTAGCACATTTTTTGCCTTATTTTGGCATGTTTTAGCTCTGTTTTGAATAGCCTTGGTCCTTTGAGGCTTGTCTTGTATGGCTATGGTAGAGTTGGCTTTGCTAGCTTTATGTTTTGGGCTATCTAGCATGCTTTGTTTGAGTTATTTCCATGATATGGCATCATTTAGCTTGTAATTTCAGAGCTCATACCATTGTCATACTCTTGCATGTGTTACTCCCTCATTGCTTCTAAGAGTTAAGCCTTATGCCTTGCTTGTTGGCCAATTGGTATGCATGATTTTCTTGCCTTGTAAACTTCAATCTCAGCATGATTTGGCCACTGTTTTGGCATGTTTGAGGTCTATTTTGATTTAGTTTAGCCCTTTGAGGCTTGTGTTGTAAGGTGGTGGCACAACCCCTTACATTAGCTTAATGAGTTAAGCCTTTGAGCATGCATTACATGAGTTGTTTGCATTGTTTCTAAGTCACCTAGTATGTTATTTCAGTGCTGAAATGTGTGTCATTGAACTCCATTATTTCAAATTTTCATTCACCTTGAAAGTGGCCTTATGCCCTTGTTGGCTTGAGCATGAACTTGAGGCATTCATGCCTATTGGTTTTAATCCTCCCTTGAGGATTTCTACTAACCAATAGCATGATACTTTCTTCATGCTCAAGGGACTCGAAGCTTAGGTCATCTTTCAAATTAGAGGACTTTTCACAATTGGACTTAACCAATAAAGGAATGGTTTGGTAATGTAAATGAGTAAACAACAATTGAGCCAATTAAAATATGCCAAGATAACATATGTGTGTTGCATTGCATGTGTTTGAATCGGACGTTAATCCAAACACAAGAAATACGAGACGTTTCATACTCAAAGTGATGAAACGTGTTGCATTTCTTGGTCGCCAACACCCTTGATCATGCATGATAGGGTGGAGGCACTTTGAGTCTTACGTGCGCATTCACTAAGCTTGTACAAGATTGGTTTTCGAGCCATCATGCATTGAGATGCTTGATTGGTGGCTTGAGAGCCAAGTATCACACTTCTTTGAGCTTGAGATATGATGAAGAGGTTGGTAGTACATACATTTCTTGCCAAATACATTGCCTTGGCTCTGTTGCTCTCTGTGCAGCAAAGGCAGGATTCTGGAAAGAGAAGTGCCCGGCCGGCCACTTGCACTAGCCTGCCGACCACTTGTACTGGCCGACCGGCCAGTTGAGGTAGCCTACCGACCAGTTGAGGTGGCCGGCCGGCCACCTGAAGGAGAAATTGTCCAAAGTGTTCCTATTTTGGGGCAGAAGCCATCTGGAAGTTTGTGCAGTGTTCTGAGAACACAGTGAGTGCAAACAGAGGCAACTCATGGCAAGGCAATGCATTTTCGGGCAAAGCACACCGAGCATGCATATCCCCCTCCCCCGAGGTCATTTTACTGCTTTACTTAGCTAGTTAATTTACTAGTTTTGTAATTAATTAGTTAATGTGTTTAGCTAATTCAATTCATCTTTGTAATATTCTACTTAGCTTAGATTAGCTAGTTATTCAATTCAATTTGGTTTGTATTAATGAATTAGCTAAGTTAGTTAATTAGTTAGTTTGATTAGCTTAGCTTAGTGTAGCTTAGCTTAATTATTCGGACCCTCCTTCGAGAGGGCACAATGTTGAAATAAGCGTGTGTGTGTGTGTGTGCATGTCTTCCAACCCCACTTCTTTCTCCCTTTTACTTAACCGCTTTCGATGGGTAGTTTAGGGGCTTATTTCAATTAGCATACCTTATGCTTTGCATGCGTGCATCATTCATTTGTCTTGCATGCACCAGGCTCGGCGCATCATTCAAACTGCATTGTATTTCAATACCTATTTGAATACGTGTATCAATTGTGGCTTCATATGCCATCTTAGATAGTCGAGCCTATTTAGTTGCATTTTTCATGTGTTGCATTAGGCATTTTAATATAGTTAGGATCATGCATGATTTCTAACTAGTTTTCTGTTTTGGCTTGGAGTACACTGTAAGTGGTTATGCTTTAGCATACTTGCACGAGTTTGAGTGTTGCCATAATAGCACGCTTGCTATAAGGTTATTTGCTTATATGCTTAACTGCTTGAATGCCTGTGGGTGGAGGCTTTATTGCCATAATTGGAACAACTCGATGATTATGAGTTTTAAGCCCACTTTGCGAGGTGGCAAAATCATGTTTTAAGCCCACTTGAGGGTGGCAAATCTGCGCTTTAGCCTACTTGCAAGTAGCACTTTCAAACCATTTTCAAAAACAAACATGAGTTGTTTTGTTCCAATTCTCGTGATTGAGTCTATACTTGTATGATGTGCGCATCACATAGTAATTAGACTAATAAACGAAATAAGAACACATGAGGTTTATAAAACAACATATCGTGCTTAGTAAAGGCTGATCCTTTGATCAGGCGAGCAGGGGTGCTCATTTCAGGACCTTCCTCTCTCGTACCCAAGTTTCCGAGCCGAGGCAACTTTGGTGATGACGGATACGTGGCCTTTGGCACGAGTCAAGGTTTCTTAAATTTTCCAAAAATAAAACATTTAGGTGGCGACTCTGTAATTTGGCAAAGCAGTCCATGTTTGGTGTTTTTTCATTCAAAATTGATTTTCGAAAACCAATTGCTAGATTTGGACTCTTTGGTGTTTATCAATCTCACATTGCAGTTTGTGAGATTAGATTCAGAACCGTGACAGGAGTCCGAACTGTAGTAAGACCAAATTCGCGCCCTCTCCAAAAGGGGGGCGCACTGAGAAAGTCGGGTCTGCACCCATGTCGATAAACAAACATGGCCTTCAAAAAGTACAAGTTTCTACAATAGAGAAATACCTTTTGAAAACAAGTAATTATCCACTATTAATGTTGTTATTGACATGTATGCCACAACTAAATTTCAACTCTTTATTTTTGGGGTCTTATATAAAATTTACACTTCTGAAAGGTTGAGGTTGATTCATCGGAATAATTTTTCTTGAAAAACCCTGTCAATATGTCAACTTATGGTCATAAAAAACAAGCAGAATTGAAAAAAGTAATCTAAAATTGACATGGATATTTTTTTTTCCCTTGATCAAAATCAAAATTTATTGATTTAAAAAGCAGAGTACATGACTCATACTATTTCAATAAGAATCAAATTGAAGTGCAACAAAAATCAAAGTCACATTTCAACAAAGAAGATAAACAACTCCCAGCACACAATATTACCCTATCACAACAAACAGACAAAGAAATGAAAATAGTTGACTTGATATCAAAGCACATAAAGATAAAAACAAACAAAAATTGAAAGACTTAATAGAACTTGAAATTTAAACTAGTGTCAGAAAATTTTTCTTTCATAAGCTTGTTCATGCGTTCAGCCATGGAAGGAGTAAGATAAGTAGCCCAATCTCCTACCTCACCTTTCCTAAAGTAGGCACTATTTGGATGCCCAACATCATTTTTGTGAGTCTTGTTCACCTTCAAAGCTTTCAAGTTGTCAAAACTACATGGTTTCAATATTTTCTCAATCACCCCTTGTCTATCTTCTTCCATAGAGAAAGGAAACCCCATCAACTTAGCCAACACTTTGAAATGAGAAATGGGGTCTTCTTTCATATATTCGCATTTCAAAAACAAGACATTGTCAGGCCTCTCTTGACTCACTTTCTAGTACCCCAACACATGTCCCAAAACAGTCCATACGGACTCACACCTCGACACATCAAATCAAAACTTTCCTCTATCAAACTTGGATTGAGAGGATTCTTTAAAAGCTTAGCAACATAGTGGCAAAAGGAGATGAACTGGTCTAAAGGGTTTTGACAAATGTAGACGACATGACAAGTATCTCTAATGGAGCTAGGAATTACAGAGTATGGAACATGGGTTGCTAAAATTCTAGGACTAGGAAGGTCATCAAGCTTGAATAATGGGTTTTGTTTCGTAGACAGCGTTGTCAAGGAAAGGGACAAGATCGTGAGGGTTGGTAGTGAGCAATGGGTTTTCGCTGAAAGAGTAGTTGTTGCGGTTGGCTATAGCAAATGTAAGTGCTTTTAACCATGTTGTGCCTGCTTTTGGGAGACTGGCTAGTATTATCTCAAAATTTTGTGCTTTGAAATGTTGTTGAAAAGAGAGAATGTCGTGAATGAACATACATGGATACCAATACCCTTTATACAAAAACATGTCTCTCCCATTTGGAAGTCTCACTTTGGGGAGAGTTTTGAGCAATTCTTTCCACGCATCATCATCCCCCATCCTCTCTTGTGTGGCTTCACTAATTTGGTTTGGCTTGTCCATAGGTGAGTGTGAGATAGACAAGGCAAACCATGTTTTCATTTTATAAAGTTTTTTTAAACAGTACGAAAAACAAGGCCCATAAAGCTACGCATTATCACGCGGTATGGTCTGTCTGTCTATTTGTTTTGTTTTGTTTTTTCTTTTTTTTTTTTTTTTTTTGATCTGTTTTCTTCTTCTTTTTTAATTATATACTTTAAATAATTGAAAGGAAATACCATGGTACTGTTTGAATCTAAAATGACAAGCTAATGATTAGGTGCCATGTGTGCGTGTGGAAGGTTGGATGACTTTAGAAATTTTGAATGGTGGCAAGCTAATTGTACATATATTTGTTGGTTGTATAATTTGTAAAAGCCAATCACAATTCAACACATGGCATGAAGAGGGCAATTTAGGGAGTTAATACAAGTTGCCAACCAAAGTCAGACACGTGTCAGCCCGTATTGATAATAATAGATCTACGTAGCACTGAAACAATCGAGGGATATAAGGTGATGTGGCCTAACGGTTACTTATAAAGTTCAAATTCAAAATCAGGAGGAAAGCCCAACTGCAAAGGTGGCATAGTGTTACTGACTGTGAGAAAGCATGTTCAGCAATCATGGGAGGACGTTTCGATGGTTATCATTGAGAAGTATAAATAGCAGAGAAGGCTCCAAAATGAAGGACCGAGACTCAAATCAAAAAATCAGTTTTAATTACTTTGTTTTCCCTTCTAGTTTTTACAGTTCTTTACATTTCTGTACTTCAAATTCTTGTGCTGCACTTCAGTCATAGGAGTAGTTTCAAATAGCTAGTTACTGTAAACCTCTATAAGGCTGGGTCAAATCATTGTAAGTTTTTTATTTTACTTAATGAAATTCTGAAATTCTTCTTCACTTAATTATTATTTACTAAACTTTCCTAAACAAGCCACCAGTAAAAGTCCTCTTCATTGAGGCTGAGAGAACTAAAATGCAATCGTCTGATAATTGATTGGCAATTAATCTTCTGTAAGGACTGATTGATCACTGTTGGCACGCTTAAAATTACAAAATCAACCTTCGAAAGCCAAAACAGCCAACATATATTTTTAGCACGCCCAATGGGACTAATTGAAATGGCTAGACGTAGGAGACAAAGAGAAAATGAACGCCTGGAAGAAGGTGTGGAAGGAAAGGTAGAAGTAGCCGATCTAGAGGATAATGTGATAACACCTCCTATAGAAGCATCTATCTCATCAGAACCTATGGTCGAACAGACCAGTAATTCAAATTATGCACCACATGCTCAAAATATTGGACGAGGCCATGGAATTAGACCATCCACTGTTCTATTTACTCAGCCAATGAATCCATAGGAAGGCCTGGTAGATGCCATGGGACAGCAGTTAATGAACACAATAGAAAGATGGGCAATATCCTTTATGGATCGGATGAATTCCCATCAACCAACTAACACAAGGCATATGGAGGAAAATTTAAATGTTCCTCAGTAAAGATTGGCTAAAGATAAACAGCCTATGCAAAGTAATGGACATTAATGGTCAGACTAGTAATCAAAATTATTAAAGACCATCACCTATACCTCAGTCATGGTATAAGCCTCTTTCGAGGCCCATGGTAAATAAAAATGCCTCATTACCTAACAGCGAAGCGATACAAATTAGTGGATTTTGGCCAACACAAGAAAATGGGATGAGAATGTTTCCAAGTCCCATGTTCGAAGCCATACTTGGCAAAGGGGGGTTCACTAATCCCTTGTTCGAATTCACACCCGGGGGGTTAGAAGAGTTTTGTAGACACCCCATTTTTGACCGTCCTCAAGACTTGGACGTCACCGTTTGAACACCCGGTCATCATCCATGTTTGTGTTCGTTTGGAGTTCCCGGAGGTCTCGGCTACGCGCCTTACCTCAGGATCTCTGAACTCGACCGTTTAGTGTCTGGTTTTGCACCAAACACTTGCATTTTGCCTTGGAGGGGCAGGGAATGCCTTGTGAGGCCTCCCCATACACCACCGGCAGTGGCTAGAGGCCACCGGCTGGTTTTTGTTGCCATCGGCAATGTATATTGACGGTCGGCATTGTTTGTTGCCGGTCGGCACTCACTTTTGTCAAAATGGCAATTTTGGCCGGCCGACTACTGTGCATCTGCTTTTGCAGATATTTTATTACAACTGTCTTGCATTTTGATCCCCTCCATACACGTGTATGGAGGGATCTCTCTCTTTAGAAGCTTGTCTTGTAAGCTTTACAAGACAAGAAGCTCTATAAGAGGAGCCCTTCTCTCCCTTGCTTAGGGTTAGAGACTTTAGACATTTTTAGACAGCCATTTTAGGGTTTGAGTTCTAGGGTTAGGGTTTCATACATATCCTATCTCTATATCTCTCTTGTGTGTGTCTAGGTGCATTTGTGTCTTACTATTGCACACAAGCACATAGTATTACACCTTCCCTTAGTTTCTGAGGTTCCAAGAGGTTGTTCTTGAGGTTCTTGAGTGGTTTCAAGCTTGGAGGAGCTGTTGGAGCTTCATCTTTGAAGAAAGTCAACAAGGGTGAGAAACTTCCCTTTTATTCCCCATTTTTGCATTGCTTTTCTACTTATCTTAGAATCGTTTTTGAGCTTGGTGTATAATACAAAAAAGTTCTGTTTTTTAACCCTCTTGATTGTTTATTAAGAGTGTTTTGTGGTTTGGGTTTGTTTGACCCTTCCTAAGCCTTGTAAGGCTCCTTTTTGTGCTATTTTTGTGCAAGTTTCGAGACTTTGGTGTTTGGGCCTCTTCACCACTGAACTCTTGAGGGATTTCAGTGGCGGAGATGGTGCCTTGAAGTCTCCAAAAGGGGAGGGCCACCCCCTCTCCTTGTTGTCCTTGAAAGGGACCCTTTTTGGCCTCTTGAGGGAGCATCATGTTAGAGTGTGTATTGATCATGTCTTGGCTGTTTTCCATGCTTATTATGCCATGATATAACCTTGTCGTGTGTTGGTTTTGGTACACCATGCATACTTAGCATACCTACCATGTAATGCCTTGTTATTGCCTTAATGTGCCTTAGGTTGTTAGCCCTTGCTCTAGCATGTTTTAGGCTTAGCCTTGTGAAGGTTTTGTGCTCATTTTGCCATGTTTTAGGTCTGTCCATAGTCGTTTGGGTTGATCTTGGCATGCGTAGTATAGCTCCTTTGTATTTGAGCTTGTATGCTTCAAATATGTGAATGTGTAGTATGTGTTGCTTGCATCATTTCGGTGGTTTGGAACCACCCTACATGTAATTTCAGTCCCTTTGACATGCTCATATGTTTGCCTTGGATGCTTCTTTGAAGCTTTGGAAGCTTGCCTTGCATGCTCCATGTTTTAGCATTTATGCATGCCTTTAAATTCAAACCATCTAGATGCTATCTAGTTGGTCTTTTGGGCTTAGTTTCATGTGTTAAAACTCTGTTTTTGGTTGCCTAAGTCCTACCATGTGTGGTTGTACTAAGTGTAGTCCATAGCCTCTTTGGTGAGCCTTGAATGCTTGGACCATTGTTGCATGTTTAGCTTGACTTGTTGCTTGGTTTGGCACCATGTTTTAACATGATTTTCAGAGCTTATGTTGCATGCTAATTGTCCATATTATGCCTCTTTCAAATGTGCTTAAGAGTTGCTTATTTAATGCCCAAGTGTTGGTCCAACTTACGTGCATGTGTGTATGTATGTTTGATCCCAATTCCTTGGTTTTTGGCCACTGTTTTAGGCCTATTTAGAGTTGCCTAAATCATGTATAAGTCCACCTCTTCATCGGTTTGCATTCCCTCATGTTTGCTTGTATGCTTGCATAAGTGTCTCGCCATGCCATGGTTGCATCCTTAATTTGCATGCCTAGGTTGCATTGCATCTTGCATGCATGCCTTGTTCCTTGACTTGGTGATATGAATTGGGCCTTGGTTCGTTTGTTTGGTTTGCATTTCATTTGACATGAAAGTTGCACACTTGATTCTTTGGGCCATCATGCATGGAAATGCGTGATTGGTGGTCCGAGAATCGAGACACATGCCCTTTTGAGTCACAAACATGATAGGGGACATGATTGGTGCATACATTGCTTGAATTGTATTGCCATGCAAGTTCTGTCCTCTGCTGCTGTGAGTTGCAGGTTCTGCAGGCATTCTTTGCCGACCGGCAGTATACATTGCCAACCGGCAGTAAATTACCAGCCGATGGATTCGTTTTGTGCCGGCAACCATAATTCATTGCCGGTGGTAATTCTACTCAGCCGGTGGTGATTCCCAGTATCCAAAGAAGCATCCTTGAGACTTTGGCAGTCTTCAGAGAGGCAGAGTAGGGAAAACAGAGGCAGACTATGCATGGTCGTGCACTTCCGAGCGGGACCCGAGCACGCGCTGCATCTGGCTCTCCTCCCGAGGCGGTTTACTGCTTTTCCTAGTTTAAATTAGTTTGTTAACTGATTAGGCAATTTGTAATATTTAATTAGCTTGCGTAGTTAATTAATTTGTATTATTTATTTGGTCCCTCCGGGCGAGGGAAAATCTATAATAAGTGTGTGTGAGTGGTGTGTATGTCTTCCAATCCCCACTTCTTTCTTCCCTTTTGTTTACCTGCTTTGATGGTTAGTGTTAGGGCACGTTTAAATTAGCATACCTCATGCAATGCATGCATGCATTCATTCATTTGTCTTACATGCACCGGACTCGGCGCATCATTCAAACTGCATTGTATTTCAATACCTATTTGAATACATGTATCAATTGTTGCATTCATATGCCACCTTAACTAGCCGAGCCTATTCTAGTTGCATTTTGCATGTGTTGCTTTAGGCATCTTGACATAGCTAGGATCATGCATGATTACTAACTAGCTTTTGTTTTGGCTCGGAGTACACTGTGAGTATTTATGCTTTAGCATCCTTACATGTGTGTAAGTGACTGTCATGATAGCATGTTTTCCATGAGGCTAATTGCTTAATTGATTAACTGGATGAATGCCTGTGGATGAAGGCTTTATTGCTCGAATTGGAACAATTCAT